CCCGTGTCCCCTGCATCGGCAGGCGGACTCTCAACCACTGTGCCACCAGGGAAGCCCAGACCTATTTTTTAAAATTAATTAATTAATTAATTTATATTTTGGCTGCACTGGGTCTTCATTGCTGCACACGGACTTTCTCTAGTTGCAGTGAGCGGCGGCTACTCTTCATTGCAGTGTGCAGGCTTCTTATTGCGGTGGCTTATCTTTGTTGCGGAGCATGGGCTCTAGGTGCGCGGGCTTCAGTAGTTGTGGCGCACGGGCTTAGTTGCTCTGCGGCATGTGAGCTCTTCCCAGACTAGGGATCGAACCCGTGTCCCCTGCTTTGGCAGGTGGATTCTTAACCACTGCGCCACCAGGGAAGTCCCTGATTATTCTTTATTATCAGCATTGCCAGCACCAAGAGCGTCCCATCCAGGGGCAGAGTAACTTAGGCAGCTGTTGGTGCCCCAGTTGGTGATGCCGTCTCTCCAGGGGAAGCCGACTGAGCTTGGTCATGGATCCAAACTCTGAAGCAGGGCAGCTCCAACAGCCTGGAAATGACGGTGGCCCACGGGGCTCTGGCTGTGTGGGAGCGAGGCTGCCAGCAGCTGGGAAGCCAGAGCCGGAGGCCAGGGATGTGACCCCCACGCTGTCACCTCTGACCTCACTGCCGTGGCCTCCGGCCCCTCTTCAGAGAGGCCAAGGCTCAGGGTTTGGGGACGGCCAGTGAACTGAGCAAGTCTTACAGCAGCAGGTGGGCCACGAGCTCCCACCCACCAGCAACCAAGCCTGAGGTTCAGCTGTTTCTGGATGTAAAACAAGAGGAAGCCAGCATGTGCAGTGACTTCCCAATGTTTAGGATATTATATGGGACAAGAATCACAGTTAGCCGTGATGCTGAGTCCTGATGATACCGACCAGGGTTCTTGGCCTCCCCAGTCAATAGAAATTGGCCTGAGGCCAGACAGGAAATTCAGGCAAGGCTTTACTGGGGCCCCTGTAGGGGCTGCAGCAGGGGGAGCGAGAACAAGCAACAGCTTCCCTTGCTTGCCCGCTCCCTGAGGGGGTGCCAGCTGGTTCCTTACACGGGGTGAGGGTAGGGGTGTGTCCAGGGGTCGGGCTGGAGGCGTGGCTCAGGTGGTCTGCCCACCGCTTAGGTGGTGTTGAGTGCAGGGGGCCTGCGCAGTGCCCTGCTTCTGCTCCTGACACGCTGTTTTTGCTCCTGGCTCTTCAGAAATGACAGTTGGGTTTTATTTGGTCTTTTTGTATCTTTTGTCCAGAATTTGCAGCAGCTGCACATGCGTGCATTTATTTTTAGTCCCGTAGTTTCTTTGTATTTATTGCTGGAGGAGACGTGTGTCCAGGTACAAGCACTGCAGCAAAGGGGCCCAGGTTCCAGGTTCCAGGTCCCAGCCTGTCTCACTGAGGCCCCAGGATGCTGTGACAGCCGCTCCACCACTCAGAGCGCTGAGCAGAGCACGTTCACAGGCAGAGCAGGAGGGGCTAGGAGACCTACCAGAAGGGTGAGGCTGGTCTCTGGGCCTGGTTCTCAGACTCCAGCTGCACCAGAATCCCTTAGAGACTCCTTAAAATAGATCACTGGGCCCCAACCCAGAGATGTGGATTCAGTATGGCAGGGCGGAGCCCAGGAATCTTTTTTTTTAAATTCATTTATTTATTTATTTTTGCCTGCGATGGGTGTTCGTTGCTGCGTGCGGGCGTTCTCTAGTTGCAGCGAGTGGAGGCCCCTCTTCGTTGCGGTGCATGGACCTCTCACTGCGGTGGCTTCTCTTGTTGCAGAGCACGGGCTGTAGGTGCACAGGCTTCAGTAGTTGTGGCATGTGGGCTCTAGAGCGCAGGCTCAGTAGTTGTGGCACATGGGCTTAGTTGCTCTGCGTCATGTGGGATCTTCCCGGGCCAGGGCTCGAACCTGTGTCCCCTGCACTGGCAGGCGGATTCTTAACCACTGCGCCACCAGGGAAGCCCAGCCAGGAATCTTAATTTCCAACAAATTCCCAAGGGCCACTGACTCTGCTGGTCCAGGGAACCCACTTTGAGAACCAGCCTCCGCCCAGCCGCCACTCTGCAGACCGTAAGCCAGCCAGGCTTGCTCTGCACAGGGCCTGGAGCATTACTGAGCGCTCTGTAAATACCCACGGATGGACAGAAGGGAAGCGGCCAGGGGCCAGGCCTCAGGGTCTCCTGTGGCTGAGCTCTGCTGATGTGGGGCTGAACTCTAATTGGTTTGGGGTCCTTGTGGCTTTTGTGGTTTTTTACTGGGGTTTCGTTTAGGTTTTTGTCTGTAGGGACTTAGGTCACAGAAAAGATTATTTAAGGCTAGTTTTTAAAAATTTATATACAGTTTATTGAAGTTACACCTTTCCAAACCTGTTTGCTTTAAGCTTTTAAGTTAAACCTAGAGATCATATTATTGTGGTGATAAATAAAATAAGAACACTCAACTTCCCCTTTTCTTTGATTAATGCTTGATTAACTCAGATTGAACAGATTAAATGCTATTAAACAACGATCAGTTCCATTTCTGCCTTTAGTTAATTAAATTCCCTTGAACTTTTAAAATGACACTTATAAATGTGGCGTATTTCCTTTTCTCTTTAAGCACCTTGAATGCTTGATATCATTGCAGAAATTCCCCTAAGCGCTTAAAAAGCTCTAGTGTGTCTAGTATATTAAACTTATACCAAATCTCAACTTCTCTGAAGCATTTCGGTATTGTTTGCAAATGTTTTAAATTCTCTGACAAGGTCCAATTTTAAATCACAAATTTAGAATCAATCCTCAGTTATACACGTTAAAATGGAATCAGGGGATTAGCCTGGCAGAGTCTTCTGTATGCTGACTTTTCTCAACTGTTTTCATCATTAAAGACAGATCCTTTCCAGTGATTCCTGAACCTGGCAGAAAGTGCCAGCTCTCTGTGTGTGATTGATTCCTGCACCTCTACATTGGATTCTAATCCTTCCCAGTATTAG